AACATGTAAAAGGTGTTTTTATAACTTAACAACTTCAGAAAATTGTGGTAAGTGAAAAATATTACATTTCATATAAGGCCTCGATTCATTTGAAAACCTCTATTTTTTGGCACAGGCTCATATAAAATTTACTTCTGGCCATTTTTTATAAGTCTGAAACATGAAGTATGCTATCTGTTGCTTTTAATAGGTGATAACTTATACATAGAAACATTAAAAAATGTAAGTTTTGGTATATTTTGGTTTTTAGAAGCCCAAATTTGATAGTTGAAATTGTTCTAATTCAACGCCACAATTCAGCACCCAAAGTTCAGATATAAAAAATGCCACATTTTTTATAATTGGTATCATATGGCTTTGAAACTTTGTAAACTGTTTTATAATACACTAAGCTTAAATCATGCCAAGTTTTATTAGAATTGGTCAAGTTTTAGACCCCTAATAGGCCCAAGACCACAATTAATGATCCCGCTTTTCGTTGTCCACGAATATAGTTCCTTTTAATTAGAGTGTATTTTTTCTTAATTTTTTTTCTTTTCCTTCCTCACTCATTTCTTAGTTTTTTTTGGGTGGAAATAAAAGAAGAGAGGTGAAATAATCTTTTGGATGTTGTATTTTAACTGATTTTGATATGGAAAGAGTGATTAGGCCAGGTGCAAAAAGGTGATATTTACAGTTTTCGGAACATCTCTTGACTTGTCCATAGGGGTATGGATGTGTATTGGCTAAATTTGTAAGAGTCATTGGTTCAATCTTTCTGAATTTTGGATATATTTTTGGACTAGAACTATACATTATACACACAAAAGATTTGACAAAAATGCAAGGTGCAATTTTTTTAATGAAACAAAACGTTATAAAGAACTAATAGGGGAATTTAATTGTGGTCTGTGGCCTATGTTCTATTTTTAGCCATGTCAGCCATGTTGGTTGGCAAGCGGGGTCATCAGACACATTTTTTCAAACTAGATACCCCAATGATGATTGAGGCCAAGTTTGGTTAAATTTGGCCCAGTAGTTTCAGAGGAGAAGATTTTTGTAAAAGTTAACGATGACGACGACGGACAACAACGACGACAGATGCAAAGTGATGAGAAAAGCTCAGTTGGCCTTTTGGCCAGGTGAGCTAAAAATTGTACATAGCAAAGTTTTGCAATCAAAACTATTTCCAAACAAACTCAGTCAAAAAATCAAAGCATCGTGGATGTTGTGATCCAGCCATATTCATAGCTAGTCTGATATTCTTTCTGACCATACTTTTTCAATAATTTTTTCTCTTTTCATTTCTAATCTTACTGTTAAATTTCTATGTTATTGCCACAGGAAGGGAATTTCGCAATATTGATGCAAATAATGATATATATATTGATATTTCAATTTTAGAATCTGTCAGATTTTTTTTTTTTATGAATATTTGCAATCTAATGGAATTGACATGAATGGAAAGGGAAATAGTCAAGCAAGTAATATATTTTTTTATATGCCATTAATAATAACTGGCTTAATTATTTCCAGAAAGAGGCCTTGGAAATGCACTTTCTCAACAACAAAAATGAAAAAAAATAATAACTAATTTTTATCTAAATTGGTGTTCATTCTTCATTAAGAAAAAATACATTTCCTGTATTCAAATTTAAATGTACAAATTAAATACCTAATGCTGAGATATTTCCAATTACTGTTAAATAGCAATATAATGGGATATTAATGCAGAACAAATAAATAAATTTTATTGCAGAAAATACTCAGGTAAGAGTTATGCAATTTTGTTTATTGTTTCAACAAAATTTCTGATAATTGTAACTAATTAATTAGATCTTAATTATTGACTTATGTCAGATGGGGTGCAGGACATTTTAGCGAGAATTTTTAAACTACTAGGAGACATTTTAGCGCAGACATTAGAGCCCATTTTAATCCGTTCACATGTATTTTCGATAGTCCTTTTTAGCGAAAACTTACCTGGTTGAATAATACTCACCTTACTATAACCATGAACAGTAATTTATACTGGTTTAATGTTTCAGTTGTTTATATGTTCATCATGGAAATACAAGTTGTTGAAACGAATAGAGGAAAGAAAAGTGTAATTTGTGATAGATACCGATATAGGATAGACAAAATATTGAAAGACCAAGAAATAGCATGGAGATGTTTGGTAAATACTAATTAATATCAATATGAAATGCACAAAATTATATTAAACCTCTCATATTTACAGATAAAAGACTATAAATGAAAAAAAAAAAAAATAAGATTTTATTATACACACAGCCAATAATAAATAGGATGTAGTTTTTTTTCTCATTGTTGAAGGCCTATAACTGCTTACATCTCAAGTATCAATTTTAAAAACGTCTTATATTTACAGATAAAAGACTGCAAAGCTAGATTTAGGACAGACGAGAAAGCATCTATTAAAAGTTTTTTATTTATCATATATTATTTATTATAATGGGTTAAAAATATGGCGCTTAAATTGGCATTGACAATTTTAATTTTCGCTAAAATGGGTTAAAAATCTGGCGCTAAAATGGGTTATACTTTGGCGCTAAAACGTCTGATTTTTTTCGCTAAAATGTCCTCCGCCAGTCAGATGATAATGACACTGATTTTACAAATGAAATAAAATTTGCTTGCATTTTTTATACATATTTTTACATTTTTTGTCTTTTCTTTGAAAAAAAAACATTCAGCTAGCTAGCAAAATTAACAGAATATTTTAATGTAGTGTAGATCAAAATAAATAATACACTTGTAGGTTTACTATTGAGGTAATGAATGTGTGTATTCAGTTTGGTGTGTAATAAATTTTGCCTATTTAATTATGTAACAAGTCAGGAGATATTAAATGTGGTGAATTAAGACTGGGGTTGTTTCCAATTAATACATACACCTTTGAGTGTAATTATTTAAAAATCATGACAGTTTATAATCATACTGACTCTTACTTGCCTATGGAAAGAATTTGAGTACATGTAATACCATTTCAAAAAATTGTGGGAATCAACTTAGATTTATTAACACACATGTTGACCTAAACTTCAGTCTTCACGCTGAATGGCAGCCCAGGCAGCCCAGGCTTGTAATATTGCTCTCGGGCCTGTAAAAATCATATCTACAAGCCAACAGAATCTAACTAAAAATTTTCAAAAATTGAGCTCCGGGCCTGTAGATTTGGCAGTTTATCGTGAAGACTGAAACTTCATAGAACAAAAACTTACACAAGCATAAGATAATAATATAATACTTTCAAAATTGTTATTAACTGATTCAATTGATGTAAAAATACTTTTTCAAAATAATTCGTAAATAGTAAATCATTATAAAGTTTGATTTAAAAAGGAACTATATGCAAGTGTATATCTAAAATAAAAGGGTTGTTCGACCAATCTTTTCTTAATTTAAAGGGCAAATAACATGTCCAAATTTGGCAGTTGATGATTAAAATGGTGTAGAAAGTTTCTGCAAGTCATAAAAACACATAATTAGTTTCATGACATGTCTTCAACTTAGTATTCTGCACCATCTCCAAAAACAGAGTGATCGCATAGATCCAGCATGGCTGAATCAAAAACCCAACAATCAATCGTCAATAATCATGATAATAGAAAAGCTTCAACATGTTCAATACCAAATGCTAAGAATTTAATTGTCTCAAGTTCTACATTTTTGTAAAACATTTAAATGGTACAGACAGACAAAGCCCTTACTTTCACACAGATACACATATGACAGTTAATTTTGCAGCAGGGTTCTCACTTAGGATTTTTTAAGGCGAGTCCAGGGACTCGTCGTTTTTTTTGGCTATGGAGAGTCCAGGCCAGTAAATACCAGTAAATTTGAGATGCAACCAATGTTTTTACAGTTCATTTGTGCATACAAGGTATGTACACAGACATGGAACAATGGGGATCTATATGTCAGTGTGTACAGATTTAGTAGCTAATCTGTCCACTTTCTGTTTGGGAGCTTAAGAAAGAATTGGAACAAGTTCCAATCTTTCCAAAAATAAATTCATAGACAATGTATATATGTACCTCTCCATGAACATCCTTACAGTAACCAGTTGCTAGCCCAGACACTTCCATGGTGACAGTACAGTTATGACACATCCAGTTCCATACCATTTTCATTTGTTCATCACCGTTATGTTTTCCATTGTTTGCATAGAGGACAAGACATCCTTTCTCACCAATGTCTTCATGTATTAGTTCGTGTAAATAATGGCAAAATGTAATCACATCTTTTGTGCTAAAACCAAGAGCTATAAGAACAGATATGTTGTCTATGATGATAGTTGGAGAGCAACAATTCTTCTCTTTAAGGTCCTTGTAAGATGTGCTGATGGACTGTAACAAATTAATCAAAACAGATTTGTCATCAACCGAATTGTCTCCCTTGTCACAATCTTTACAACAGGTATTCCCTAGAAGTTTTAGTCCTTCAACAAATACGAGTTTATTTGTTTCCTTTTGTGTTGATAAATTTGTGCCAAACTTTTGACTAATTACATTATAATGTCCAAAAGACTGACTTAGTGCAACAAAACAAACTGGAGTCGAACTTTTAAAAGAATGTGACAGAAAATGATGAACTAGAAATGATCCTTCAACTGTTGACTCTGATATACCAGCAAACCAACCATTGATTCTTTCTGTTTGTTTTACGTCTATTAAATTGTTAATTTCGATAAACATTTTGATTTTAAAACGCGAACGTGAAGAACATGTAATTTAAATTGACAAGTGCATGAAGTGTGGAAGCAAGATCAACCAAAAGTGAAAATGAAAGTTAAGACAATTTACATAATTTATTTTCAAAAACGAACACAAAATTTATCCTTATTTAGTTGGAAATTAATGTTATTATTAAGGATTTTTAAACCATAAATAAAATATTTGGGCACTACATTAATAGAAGTTTTTTATTACACAATTCATTATATTGTGTAAGCCATTGATATAAAATTCGTTTTACAATATTCATATATTATTTTTACCGGAAGTAATATATTTGGCGGATGATTTAAAAAATTGTCAACATTCTTCTACCAGGTAAAACTATTCGCAGTGTCGGGAAACGTAGCAAGTTCTCTGTATGCTGTTTACGTTTAAAACCATTCCCAATATACAATCTGCCAGTCAACTCAACAAGCAATTGGGGCATAGACCCCCCTTTTTCTAATTCCCTTTTTTGTATAATTTAATATATCAACTCAAAAAAGTCTTACCTATTTGTTTCTGTTTGTGGATTGTGTGTACAATCATTCAACTATCCAGAGATTTCAAAATTTCACTTCTCTAAATATTTTGTCAAGTCTTATTATGGATGACAGAGGAATATGTCATTCACATGAGCTGTAGGAATCCCTGATATCTCGGCCTATATCAAAATCGGACTATAACAAACTCGGCCTATAACATAATCGGCCTCACAAAATCGGACTATAACAAACTCGGACTACTAGAAGAATATAAGTATGATGTTGGATGTTGTTTTCTTTATTGGAAATTAATTATCAATACTTAATTTGCAATTAATTATGATTTACAATTAATTAAATAATCATTTTGAACATTTTAGAAGCGAGTAATATAAATTGCGTTAACAAGATATGTATTAAATGAAAAGTAGTAATAAATTCATTTAATAATGAAAATCTAGCACTTATTTGTCTTTTCTGTATTATTATTTGTATGTCCCTCTCATTAAGGTCTTTCCTTTCACTATAAGGAAAGACTTTACTGTATTTCTTCTGATTATTATTATTATTATTATTATTATTCTCTCCGTCAAACTTTCAACGACATTTCCCAACAAAAGTACTCGACATGTTGAAATGATATTAGGTATCTTTTATCATACGCATATCTTATATGATTGAACTGGGAATATGACATCATGCCACGTGTATCGTTGACACCTTTTTAATTACCTGAATTTAAACTAACAACTGGCACATGTACTGTTGACACCTATTTAATCACCCAAAGTGAGAACAAAACTACCTGTAATTACATAAAATTGTAATTAACTAAATATTGAATAACTTTGCAGTAGCAGCTTGTGTATAACAATAGATGTAATAGCCATTATGTCTATGGTATAACTGACGGTTTTTTTTTGGTTTTTTTTTTAGTTTGATTACAATTCTTATGTAATTATAAGACAGTGTAGTGAATTATATGTTTCTGATCATACTTTTATTGGTAACGGTTGAATCCCAGCGGTTTGTGAGAAAAAGAAATCTCTGTTGTTTTTTCAATTTTACTCCACATCTATTTTGAGAAATATGTATAATAAATGTTTGCGTCAGCTTGCCTTTCTAAAAACATTGTATCTGTTTGATGTGACAATTTAATTTTAAATATAATTACTTTTCCATTAATAAAGAATTACAGATAAGTGAAATTGTAAAGAACCTATTCACTGTCAATCAAATTTCTCTTTGTTTGTATACTAATAATGAACATCAAGGATTAAACACAATACAAACATGCACACACGCCAATCATTAAAACATCTTTTGTCAATAAACATAACAAACGAGAAAATCTCAATAAAATTTCAAATAGAAGTAAATTATCCTCATTCAAAAATATCAAATTCAACTCATATAACACATATTTTAATGATGGATCTACATCTATTTTAATACATTTCTATATATTGTTTTTTTTTAAATATTTATCATTTTCTCATAAATTCGTATATAATTTTTTTATATATAAAGTTGTTTTTTTTTAAAGTCAGAAAAAAAAAGTTAACAACACAATCTACTAATCGTAGTCCGAGTTTGTTCAATATATTTCTGCATATAAATAGTGGTAGGCTGAGTTTGTTATAGTCCGAGTTTGTGATAGTCCGATTTTGTGATAGGCCGATTTTGTTTTAGTCCGAGTTATCCAGCAGCGATCTGTAGACTGTAGTCTTGTAGATACTGTAGACTTCAAATGCACATTTATTATGCATGTATGTATGCTACGTAGAAGCCTCCTTTCACTGGGAGCACAACCAAGAGTTGTGGTGTAAAGGAGGACATTTAGCACACTAAATAGGTAGATTTTATTTAAATGTGAGCATTTGCCCAGTGATCGGGAAGGACGTGCGTAATAATAGCAACATGCGGTATGACTGATTACCCAAAAAACGTAATTAACCATCATTCATGATATAATTTTTTATAAACAACTTTAAATTTGTGAAAATTGGCTAGTACAGGCGAGAATTCTTCTCTAATTATAATCTTTTAAGTAAGCTTGCTATAATTTCGATTGAAAAACCCAAAAGCCTTTTTATGAATAGTATAGTATTTGTCTCCATAAAAGGGGCTTAACTGTCTTTCTCAATTTTTTTGGTCTTTGGCTCGTTTTGACATTTTGTAAACATGCCTTCAGCGAATTGTTGTTGTGTCTTATCAATTAACATTGCTCTCTACTGTTATTCTTGTCATCGTGATGAAGTAATAATAATACAAGTGCAGAGGAAATGCCAGAAACGTCCTCTAATACGGAACGTCTGGAATAAGTTTGGTATCGACGAAGACCCAAATTGAATGTAAAAAAAACCCATGAACATGAACAAGGGAACAGTACCAGTTTTAACATTGTAAATAAAGGTTATCGTAAATATTGCCTGGTTTGGAAGAAGTTATTGTATATTCATTGAAATTGAAATTACAAAATCACAGGAACAATATCCATGGTATTAGTTAGAATCATACTTGTAAGTACAGTGAAATATACACTTTTTTTATTTGTTTTTATTGTAAATGAATGGCCCACTCATTTGACAACATGGTCCATTAATTCTAAAAATGGCCCATTGAATTTTTTTTGGGGGGGCCCTGTGCCCATAGAGAAAAAATCCTTCCAGATCACTGTTTGCCTACCCAGTTCCCCAGCCTGGCTGTGACTGGACTTTCATTTTTTGTACTTCCAGAAAGTTGGCCTTCCCAAAAACATGAATAAATACAATGCAATAAAACATTCAAACACACCCACTCACCTGGTTCGTTCATCCTCAAAACATAAAAAGTGCAAAATATATACAAAATAAGAGAAAAGCTCACCCGGATGCCGCACGAATGCCATAGCAACGAACAGTGGCGTAACAATGTATTAGTTTGTGATTAGGTCTAGTTCATGGTGAACCACTAGTGGTAGGTCAATGATATTTGCAGTTGTATTAGCATTGGCACATCTTATTACCATGGAGATTATTTGGCACCGCCCCCTCAGTCAAGGTCTATTGACTTTGAAACTTTGCTTCATTTAATTACATGTATTAGTTTGTGATTAGGTCAGTTTATGGGGAACCACTAGTGGTAGGTCAATGATATTTGGTATGCAGTTGTATAAGCATTGGCACATCTCATTTCCATGGAGATTATTTGGTCCCGCCCCCTCATTCATGGTCTATTGACTTTGAAACTTTTGCTTCGTTTACATGTATTAGTTTGTGATTAGATCAGTTTAAGATGAACCGCTAATGTTATGTCAATGATATTTGGTATGCAAATGTATTGGCATTTGCAAGTATCGTTTCCATGGATTATATAGCCCCACCCCCTCCTCATGGTTCATTGACTTTGAAACTTTTACATAGTTTACAAGTCAATGTTTGTGTTTAGGTTTTTTGAAAGGGAACGACTTATGATAAGTCTATGGTATTTGGTATGCAGTTGTATTAGCATTGGCACATCTCATTTCCATGGAGATTGTTTTGCCATGTACCTTCAGTCATGGTTCATTGACTTTGAATATTTGCATAACTTACATGTTAAAGTATTGCTATTTAAATTTTCAACATTTGCATTATCAAAAGTACAAAAAGGCGAGACATATCTCTGTGTTAACAGTTTATTTACATAATGGATTAGTGATGAACGATCATAATCTGTCTTAGAAATTTAACATTTCTACAGAATATTATCCCTATAATTTTTTTACAGAATGGCTGGTGATGAACAATCATTTCAGTTTCCTCCTCTAGAAATACATGAGATTGTTCGTCAACTCAGAAGTATTGGCAACATTTTAACTGAGGAAAATGACTTCAAAAGACCAGATGTAAGTTAAGCAATTAACATGAATGTAATTTTGAAATTTTCAGTGATTTGGAAGTGACCTTACAGGAAACATATTTCAAGGGTGGATATATAGAGCCAACAGAAATAACATCCACAAAAACATATATAGCCAATAGAAGTAACCTCCACAAAACACATTATAGCTAACATACATTTTGTAAGTAACCTCCGCAAAACACATTATAGCTAATAGAAATTACCTCAATAAAATATATTTTAGCCAATAGATATAGCCTCTACAAAACATATAATATAAAGCCAATAGAAATAACCTCCACAAAACAGATTATAGCCAATAGAAATAACCTCCACAAAACATAACAGAAAAAAAGTATAAAAAAAAAACAACACTTAGAAGAGAGTCAGAATTTCTGCAGATGACCTTCTTGTCTACATGTATTACCCACTGGTAAAATCAAATACAAATGTACATGTAGTTTTAATTTAACAAAATGGATGTGTACTTAACTACTGACATTGTTTTCTTCTTAAGGTCAAATATCGAATTTTGCTTTGTAGCCTAACAGATGGGCAAAGCTTTACCCACAGATTCTAGAAGCTTTAACAGGTGTACCATATGAAAGTATGTTACAGGTAATTAAGTATGAATAAATATGACAGACTCCTATTAAATATACATTAAAGTTGAAATTAAGGCATGCAAGGTATTTGTGAGTGGATGTATTTTTTCATAGTGAAGGTCAGAAAAGATCACTTTTTACCCATCAGTGACACAAGTCAAGTTTATATTAAGATCAAGATTTTTGTCTCGCCTTGACGGAGTCAAAAAGTGAGACATAGGTATGCTGTTTCCGGCAGCGGCGTCAACAATGTATTAGTTTGTGATTAGGTCTAGTTCATGGTGAACGACTAGTGGTAGGTCAATGATATTTGGTATGCAGTTGAATTAGCATTGGCACATCTCATTACCATGGAGATTATTTGGCCCCACCCCCTCAGTCAAGGTCTATTGACTTTGAAACTTTTCATAGTTTACATGTATAAGTTTGTGATTAGGGCAATTTATTGGGAACCACTAGTGGTAGGTCAATGATATTTGGTATGCAGTTGTATAAGCATTGGCATATCTCATTTCCATGGAGATTATTTGACTCCGCCCCCTTAGTCATGGTCTATAGACTTTGAAAATTTTGCTAAGTTAACATGTATTAGTTTGTGATTAGGTCAGTTCAAGGGGAACCATTAGTGGTAGGCCAATGTTCATTGGTGTTCAGTTGTATAAGCATTAGCACATCTCATTTCCATGGAGAATATTTGGCCCCGCCCCCTCAGTCATGGTCTATTTACTTTGAAACTTTTGCTTAGTTTACATGTATTAGTTTGTGATTAGATCAGTTTAAGATGAACTGCTAATGTTAAGTCAATGATATTTGGTATGCAAATTTATTGGCATTTGCAAGTATCGTTTCCATGGAGATTATATAGCCCCACCCCTGATCATGGTTCATTGACTTTGAAACTTTTACATAGTTTACAAGTTAATGTTTGTGTTTAGGTTTGTTTAAAGGGAATGACTCATAATAAGTCAATGGTATTTGGTATGCAGTTGTATTAGCATTGGCACATCTCATTCCATGGTGATTGTATAGCCATGTACCTTCAGTCATGGTTCATCGACTTTGAATATTTGCATAACTTACATGTTAAAGTATTGCTATTTTAATTTCAACATTTGCATTATCAAAATTACAAAAAGGCGAGACATATCTCTGTGATAACAGTTCATTAAAATTAAACACATGAAATGGATGATGATGATGATGGGTGGCTGCTTCACATTCAACAGCAAATTAAATGCATATTCATATATTCATATTCATGTTAATGTAATATAAATATTAATCCTACTTTGTACTAGACTGACAAGCTGAGCTGGATTTTTAATGTGCTAATTCACAAGGCAACAGTCTGCAAGAAGACATGTCATCCTACCTGGACACATTATTCTCCAAGCAGAGCAGTCTGTGCTCTTACTCCTTAATGCCCCTTGCTTAGTGAAGAAGCAGCAAATGCCAATTTTAATGTCTTTTTAACCAACTACCTCCGGTCTGGTGGCGGACACACAAAAAGGATAGAAATATCTTGTCATACCTTTTTATGTAGACAATTGTCTGTACTGATAGACACTGTGTTGAAATCTAGATGTTTTTGGTTCTTTTTTGGTTGTTATTTTATTAATATTCATCCCTTTTCTCTGGAGATCATTATTGACTTTACTGTTCCTCTGTGTATTTTTAAGTCTCCTTATAGAGTGTGTTTATGTAAAGTTGTCTGTTTTACAATGTATATATTTTTTTATTTGAAATTCTGTATTTTTTCAGAATTCCTTAAATTTTGCATCATTTGAATATCCAGAACTTTCAGAGGAATCAATCCCAGCATTTGTACTATCTCTAGCATTGTAAGTACATTGAAGTACAGTTTTAGTTGTATATATATATATATGTGTTAATTTCTCAACAATGTAAGGATATATAAGAAAAAACATGAAAAATACAATGTACTTCTGTGTGTCCCACTTACCAGTAATTTGGAAAGGGATTGTCACACAGGTACAATCAAGTTTAGATATGTTGTAAGAATTTGTCTGCATGAGGTTATGTGCTGTAACCATATCAATTGATGCCACTGCTACAATCAAAAATGTAGAAAGTGTTAATCCATCAGAACTGTGTTGATCTCATTTCAGATCTAGAGTATTAGGATCATGTGGAATAAAGAACTTCAGTATAGCAGATATACATGAACCAAGTAAGAGTTGTTGGTTATATGTGTTAATTATCTTTTCTGTTCAGATGTCATGTTATATGTGTTAATTATCTTTTCTGTTCAGATGTCATGTTATATGTGTGTATTGTCTATTCTGTTAAGATATCATGTTATATGTGTTTATTGTCTATTCTGTTAAGATGTCATGTTATGTGTGTGTATTGTCTATTCTGTTAAGATGTCATGTTATATGTGTGTATTGTCTATTCTGTTGAGATGTCATGTTATATGTGTGCATTGTCTATTCTGTTAAGATGTCATGTTATGTGTGTGTATTGTCTATTCTGTTAAGATGTCATGTTATGTGTGTGTATTGTCTATTCTGTTAAGATGTCATGTTATATGTGTGTAGTGTCTATTCTGTTCAGATGTCATGTTATATGTGTTTATTGTCTATTATGTCATGTTATATGTGTGTCTATCTCTTCTTTTTTCAATATTTTATTGTTCATCTGTATAATAAATGTGAATCCTCTAATTTCCAATATCTGTTCACTCTTTTTAAACTGTTACATTTGTGTTAAGAGGTTAGAAGAATTCCAGTAGGTGATCTATAGTTGTTAATTTCTATGTTATTTGATGTCTTGTAGAGAGTTGTCTCATTGGCAATAGTATCACACCTTTTTAGCTCACCTGGCCCGAAGGGCTAAGTTAGCTTTTCTCATCACTTGGCATCCATCGTTGTTGCCGTCCGTTGTTAACTTTTACAAAAATCTTCTCCTCTGAAAGTACTGAGACAAATTTTACCAAACTTGGTCACAATCATCATTAGGGTATCTAGTTTAAAAAATGTGTCCGATGACCCCGCCTGCCAACCAACATGGCTGACATGGCTAAAAATAGAACATAGGGGGTAAAATGCAGTTCTGAAACTAAAGCATTTAGAGAAAATCTGACATGGAGTAAAAATGTTCATCAGGTGAAGATCTATCTGCACTGAAATTTTCAGACGAATCAGACAACCCCTGATTTGGTAATTTTAAGGAAATTTTGCAGTTTTTTGTTATTATCTTACTTAGAAACTGTGAGATTGAGGAGGATTTGCAGTGCTGTTGTTAACTTTTTATTGTTCTGTAATTGTAGAAACTTCAAGATTGAGGAGGATTTGTAGTACTGTTGTTAACTTTATATTGTTTTGTAATTGTAGAAACTTCAAGATTGAGCAGGATTTGCAGTGCTGTTGTTAACTTTATATTGTTTTGTAATTGTAGAAACTTCAAGATTGAGCAGGATTTGCAGTGCTGTTGTTAACTTTATATTGTTTTGTAATTGTAGAAACTTCAAGATTGAGCAGGATTTGTAGTGCTGTTGTTAACTTTATATTGTTTTGTAATTGTAGAAACTTCAAGATTGAGGAGGATTTGCAGTGCTGTTGTTAACTTTATATTGTTTTGTAATTGTAGAAACTTCAAGATTGAGCAGGATTTGCAGTGCTGTTGTTAACTTTATATTGTTTTGTAATTGTAGAAACTTCAAGATTGAGGAGGATTTGTAGTACTGTTGTATACTTTATATTGTTTTTCAATTGTAGAAACTTCAAGATTGAGGAGGATTTGTAGTGCTGTTGTTTACTTTATATTGTTCTGTAATTGTAGAAACTTCAGGATTGAGGAGGATTTGCAGTGCTGTTGTTAACTTTATATTGTTTTGTAATTATAGAAACTGCAAGATTGAGGAGGATTTGTAGTACTGTTGTTAACTTTATATTGTTTTGTAATTGTAGAAACTTCAAGATTGAGGAGGATTTGTAGTACTGTTGTTAACTTTATATTGTTTTGTAATTGTAGAAACTTCAAGATTGAGGAGGATTTGCAGTGCTGTTGTTAACTTTATATTGTTTTGTAATTGTAGAAACTTCAAGATTGAGCAGGATTTGCAGTGCTGTTGTTAACTTTATATTGTTTTGTAATTGTAGAAACTTCAAGATTGAGGAGGATTTGTAGTACTGTTGTTAACTTTATATTGTTTTGTAATTGTAGACACTTCAAGATTGAGGAGGATTTGCAGTGCTGTTGTTAACTTTATATTGTTTTGTAATTGTAGAAACTTCAAGATTGAGGAGGATTTGCAGTGCTGTTAACTTTATATTGTTTTGTAATTGTAGAAACTTCAAGATTGAGGAGGATTTGCAGTGCTGTTAACTTTATATTGTTCTGTAATTGTAGAAACTTCAAGATTGAGGAGGATTTGTAGTACTGTTGTTAACTTTATATTGTTCTGTAATTGTAGAAACTTCAAGATTGAGGAGGATTTGCAGTGCTGTTAACTTTATATTGTTTTGTAATTGTAGAAACTTCAAGATTGAGGAGGATTTGCAGTGCTGTTAACTTTATATTGTTTTGTAATTGTAGAAACTTCAAGATTGAGCAGGATTTGCAGTGCTGTTGTTAACTTTATATTGTTTTGTAATTGTAGAAACTTCAGGATTGAGGAGGATTTGTAGTACTGTTGTTAACTTTATATTGTTTTGTAATTGTAGAAACTTCAAGATTGAGCAGGATTTGCAGTGCTGTTGTTAACTTTATATTGTTTTGTAATTGTAGAAACTTCAGGATTGAGGAGGATTTGTAGTACTGTTGTTAACTTTGTATTGTTCTGTAATTGTAGAAACTTCAAGATTGAGGAGGATTTGCAGTGCTGTTGTTAACTTTATATTGTTTTGTAATTGTAGAAACTTCAAGATTGAGGAGGATTTGCAGTGCTGTTAACTTTATATTGTTTTGTAATTATAGAAACTGCAAGATTGAGGAGGATTTGTAGTACTGTTGTTAACTTTATATTGTTTTGTAATTGTAGAAACTTCAAGATTGAGGAGGATTTGCAGTGCTGTTAACTTTATATTGTTTTGTAATTATAGAAACTGCAAGATTGAGGAGGATTTGTAGTACTGTTGTTAACTTTATATTGTTTTGTAATTGTAGAAACTTCAAGATTGAGGAGGATTTGCAGTGCTGTTAACTTTATATTGTTTTGTAATTATAGAAACTGCAAGATTGAGGAGGATTTGTAGTACTGTTGTTAACTTTATATTGTTTTGTAATTGTAGAAACTTCAAGATTGAGGAGGATTTGTAGTACTGTTGTTAACTTTGTATTGTTCTGTAATTGTAGAAACTTCAAGATTGAGGAGGATTTGCAGTGCTGTTAACTTTATATTGTTTTGTAATTATAGAAACTGCAAGATTGAGGAGGATTTGTAGTACTGTTGTTAACTTTATATTGTTTTGTAATTGTAGAAACTTCAAGATTGAGGAGGATTTGTAGTACTGTTGTTAACTTTATATTGTTTTGTAATTGTAGAAACTTCAAGATTGAGGAGGATTTGCAGTGCTGTTGTTAACTTTATATTGTTTTGTAATTGTAGAAACTTCAAGATTGAGGAGGATTTGTAGTACTGTTGTTAACTTTATATTGTTTTGTAATTGTAGAAACTTCAAGATTGAGGAGGATTTGTAGTACTGTTGTTAACTTTATATTGTTTTGTAATTGTAGAAACTTCAAGATTGAGGAGGATTTGCAGTGCTGTTGTTAACTTTATATTGTTTTGTAATTGTAGAAACTTCAAGATTGAGCAGGATTTGCAGTGCTGTTGTTAACTTTATATTGTTTTGTAATTGTAGAAACTTCAAGATTGAGGAGGATTTGTAGTACTGTTGTTAACTTTATATTGTTTTGTAATTGTAGACACTTCAAGATTGAGGAGGATTTGCAGTGCTGTTAACTTTATATTGTTTTGTAATTGTAGAAACTTCAGGATTGAGGAGGATTTGCAGTGCTGTTAACTTTATATTGTTTTGTAATTGTAGAAACTTCAAGATTGAGGAGGATTTGCAGTGCTGTTAACTTTATATTGTTTTGTAATTATAGAAACTGCAAGATTGAGGAGGATTTGTAGTACTGTTGTTAACTTTATATTGTTTTGTAATTGTAGAAACTTCAAGATTGAGGAGGATTTGTAGTACTGTTGTTAACTTTATATTGTTTTGTAATTGTAGAAACTTCAAGATTGAGGAGGATTTGCAGTGCTGTTGTTAACTTTATATTGTTTTGTAATTGTAGAAACTTCAAGATTGAGGAGGATTTGTAGTACTGTTGTTAACTTTATATTGTTTTGTAATTGTAGAAACTTCAAGATTGAGGAGGATTTGTAGTACTGTTGTTAACTTTATATTGTTTTGTAATTGTAGAAACTTCAAGATTGAGGAGGATTTGCAGTGCTGTTGTTAACTTTATATTGTTTTGTAATTGTAGAAACTTCAAGATTGAGGAGGATTTGCAGTGCTGTTAACTTTATATTGTTTTGTAATTGTAGAAACTTCAGGATTGAGGAGGATTTGCAGTGCTGTTGTTTACTTTATATTGTTTTGTAATTGTAGAAACTGCAAGATTGAGGAGGATTTGCAGTGCTGTTGTTAACTTTATATTGTTTTGTAATTGTAGAAACTTCAAGATTGAGGAGGATTTGCAGTGCTGTTGTTAACTTTATATTGTTTTGTAATTGTAGAAACTTCAAGATTGAGGAGGATTTGCAGTGCTGTTGTTAACTTTATATTGTTTTGTAATTGTAGAAACTTCAAGATTGAGGAGGATTTGCAGTGCTGTTGTTAACTTTATATTGTTTTGTAATTGTAGAAACTTCAAGATTGAGGAGGATTTGCAGTGCTGTTAACTTTATATTGTTTTGTAATTGTAGAAACTTCAGGATTGAGGAGGATTTGCAGTGCTGTTGTTAACTTTATATTGTTTTTTAATTGTAGAAACTGCAAGATTGAGGAGGATTTGCAGTGCTGTTGTTAACTTTATATTGTTTTGTAATTGTAGAAACTTCAAGATTGAGGAGGATTTGCAGTGCTGTTGTTAACTTTATATTGTTTTGTAATTGTAGAAACTTCAAGATTGAGGAGGATTTGCAGTGCTGTTAACTTTATATTGTTTTGTAATTGTAGAAACTTCAGGATTGAGGAGGATTTGCAGTGCTGTTGTTAACTTTATATTGTTTTGTAATTGTAGAAACTGCAAGATTGAGGAGGATTTGCAGTGCTGTTGTTAACTTTATATTGTTTTGTAATTGTAGAAACTTCAAGATTGAGGAGGATTTGCAGTGCTGTTGTTAACTTTATATTGTTTAAAGGACAACAGTGTGATGTGTACAGAAATCTACGAGAGGAAACTGTAAGTCTTTCACTACCTTTGTTTAATAAACAATACAAAAATCTAGCGCTAAACCCTATTGAAGGACGATGTATTTGTCTCACAATTATGTTGATTTTATTTGTTAATGTCTATGAGGTATATAGTCTTTTCACTTTAATTCAGAAGTACTTTGCTATGTCACATTGACATTTTTATAAACATTAACGAATAAATACACAATAAGGGAGATAAATTTCTTATGTAATTGATATTTGTTAGACTAATTTGTTGTAAACATTTTAAGATTCATAATTCTCAATATTCTTAAATAAAAGGGCGGAAGAAGCAGTCCTATTTTAGCTTTGTCTTTTTTGCGAAACCCAGGTATAAAAGAAATTTACTGTTTAAATGTTTTTTAAAGTGTGTATACCAGCAATCAATATTTATGCTGGTGTTAAGGTTTTAAGATTTAATATAAATAATGCTAGACATTTGGATTTACTTTATATTTATTTTCTCAGGAAAGTTCTGTTAAAGAGTTTGAACATGTGGTGAAGATGAACGATGAACTAAAAATGAAAATTAATGCTATAAAATCTGTTAGAGCTGAGCAAGAACCAGAAATAATCAGGGTAAGTTAAATTTCTTAGGGAAGACTTCATTATACCGACACTATGAAGTAGCCGAGGGGATATAAAGTTTCTGACCCATCACTCTGTCAGTCCATTTCATTTTTAGGATGCTTACTCAAATACTTTATGTCGGACTGCAACCATATATGTATATATAGTCACATATAATAAGAAGAAGATCCCTGTTGATTTTGACATCACCTTGCTAAAGTTGAAGTTCGTAGTTACTAAAAATAGGCTTTAATTTGTGCAGAAAAGTTGTTTCTCAATTCTAAATCACATATTACATATGGGATTGCAACTTTACTTGAGTAAATGTTCACATATATGAAAGGAAGATCCCTATTCATTTTGAGATCAATACCGAAAAGGTCATGGTAAAAGTTACTAAATACAATATGAAATTTGTGAAATAATTTGAACCACAAATGGTAAGTCAAGGATATTTGGTAGGCAGTTGTATGACCGTTTGCACATTTCATTTGTTTTCATCTTTTAAACATTCGCATTAAACCATTAAAATTACACATAGTCCAGAGATGTCACCATGTCAACAGATTTTGACATTTTCCATTAATTGCTTTGTTATACCCAAGAGGGGGTATCTCTGATCACCAGTTCCCCTAATTCTAGTTTGTATAATCAAACTCACATTTTTCACCTCACAGGACTTTTACAATATGTACATACATAGAAAAATTATGCACCTGGTATTATGTAATTATGTTTGGAAGATTTTCTACTTTTTGTTCATGTTACAAGTTCAATAGTACTTAACTTTCTCTGATTATTTTATTGATATACTCCTTATAAAAGCAAGGAGATATTTTATGACAGCCAATGAGATAAATATCAATCAAAGAACAAAGGATAAGGATGTAACCAACTACAGGTTGATGTTAGGCCTTCAACAATGAGCAAAAATCTATACCGTACAGCATTCTAGAAAAGGCTATGGATAATGGAACATGAAACAATACAACATAGAAAACTAGCAGCCTGATTTGAGCTAATATCAGTAAACAAGAAACAATTACGACAGACAGCAACATATGACAAACACTGTATAACAGTTGCCTGGGTTGGAACTGGTACAAAAAGAATGTGATGGGTTTAAAATACAAATATATATATATATTATATTGGAAGACAGGTTAGAAGAAGCGGTGTTATTTGTTTCTGGATTCTGTTTCTTTATAATGGTTTATCTTTATAAGCATTATTATTTATTGAATAATATATGTTTTAAACCAAAATTTAGAATTGACATAATGTAGGACTATAAGTTTTAAATATTTTAGGTACAACAAGACATACAGGCCAGAACTGTTACCATGAATGAAATGGACAAAGTTAAGAATGAGAAACTAAAGGGCATTAGTGAAATAAAGGAGGCTGTAGCAGAGAAACAAGCAAATACTGTATGTATCAGTTTATACTTACCGTACATCGAAAGGGTGCAAGTAATATTTAGCAATTACTTTGAAACCTATATCTGACAGCGAGTCATCCCATTGCTCCCAGCCTAATTTTTTTCTCGCCTTGGCGGAGTCAAAAAGCAAGATATAGGTATGCTGTTTCCGGCGTCGGTGGCAGAGTCAACAATGTATTAGTTTGTAATTAGGTCTAGTTTATGGTGAACCACTAGTGGTAGGTCAATGATATTTGGTATGCAGTTCTATTAGAATTGGCACATCTTATAACCATGGAGATTATTTGGCCCCGTCCCCTCAGTCATGGTCTATTGACTTTGAAACTTGGCTTAGTTTACATGTATTAGTTTGTGATTAGGTCAGTTTATAGGGAACTACTAATGGTAGGTCAATGATATTTGGTATGCAGTTGTATAAGCATTGGCATATCTCATTTCCTTGGAGATTATTTGGCCCCGCCCCCTCAGTCATGGTCTATTGACCTTGAAACTTGGCTTTGTTTACATGTATTAGTTTGTGATAAGGTCAGTTTATAGGGAACTACTAATGGTAGGTCAATGATATTTGGTATGCAGTTGTATAAGCATTGGCATATCTCATTTCCATGGAGATTATTTGGCCCTGCCACTCAGTCATGGTCTATTGACTTTGAAACTTTTGCTTAGTTTACATGTATTAGTTTGTGATTAGGTCAGTTTGTGGGGAACCACTAGTGGTAGGTCAATGATATTTGGTATGCAGTTGTATAAGCATTGGCATATCTCATTTCCATGGAGATTATTTGGCTCCGCCCCCTTAGTCATGGTTTATTGACTTCGAAAATTTTGCTTAGTTTATATGTATTAGTTTGTGATTAGATCAGTTTAAGATGAACCGCTTCTGTTAAGTCAATGATATTTGGTATGCAAATTTATTGGCATTTGCAAGTCTTATTTCCATGGAGATTATAAAGCCCCACCCCCTCATCATGGTTCATTGACTGAAACTTTTACAGAGTTTACAAGTTAATGTTTGTGTTTAGGTTTGTTTAAAGGGAAGGACTTATGATACATCAATGGTATTTGGTATGCAGTTGTATTAACATTGGCACATCTCATTTCCATGGAGATTGTTCAGCCATGTACCTTCAGTCATGGTTCATCGACTTTGAATATTTGCATTATTTACATGTTAAAGTATTGCTATTTTAATTTCAATTGATCATTTGCATTATCAAAATTACAAAAAGGCGAGACATATCTCTGTGATAACAGTTTATTATGTATTAGTTTATGATTAGGTCAGTTTTAGGGGAACCGTTAGTGGTAGGTCAATGATAATTGGTATGCAGTTATATAAGCGTTAGCACATCTCATTTCCATGGAAAAATTGGTTTACATGTATTAGTTTGTGATTAGGTCAGTTTAAGATGAACCACTAATGTTATGTCATTGATATTTGGTATGCAAATGTATTGGCATTTGCAAGTTCATTTCCATGGAAATTATAAGTTTCATTTCCATGGAGATTATATAACCCCACCCCCTCATTATGGTTTATTGACTTTGAAACTTTAACATAGTTTACAAGTTACTGTTTGTGTTTAGGTTTGTTTAAAGGGAACGACGTATGAAAAGTCAATGGTATTTGGTATGCAGTTGTATTAGCATTGGCACATCTGATTTCCATAGAGATTGTTTAGCCCTGTACCTTCAGTCTTGGTTCATTGACATTGAATATCTGCATTTAACTTACATGTTAAATTATTGCTTTTTTATTTTCACAGTTGCATTATCAAAATATCAAATAGGCGAGACATATCTCTGTGTTAACAGTTTATTTAACAACTGATACTGCTTTATATTTTTTATATTTATAACTATCATATAACACATTTATTAGAAATGCTCAAAGCCAAGTATTTTTTTAATATCCGAGGCAGAGGACATAACTGTGTTACAAAATTATTGTTATAATTAATAAGAAGGAATAATTTTTTTGATTAATTCCTAAATCCATGAAATCAGGTGGATTTCTTGCTGTTTAGCATTTAGTGGCAAATTAAATGCAAATTGCAGACCAGAGCATGTTCTGGCAACATTAAGGGTTCAAATTTGACTGTTTAACCCTTTCGCTTCAGCTGACAATGAGTCCCGATTTACCAGGATCTGAATACCTCTTTTATATTTCCCGCTGAAAAACATTGCGACCACAAGTTATCTTTCCTTGTTTAATACCCAGATGAAAGTGTAAACATGGCGCTTCCGTTTGTTGAAACCTGTTTCAAAATCAGATGAAATTTACGGATTTTACTGGAATTTGAAATAAAGGAACATTTTTTTTTAAAGAATTTGGAAGAATTGAAGCCTGACTAGTATACTTTTTTTACATAAAATGCTGTTTTATGTACAAAATACTTGGAATGGACATCGCTCAGTGAAAGGAATTTGTACAACCTCGTTAAAATTTTCAAACTTTTGCCGTTCTGGGTTAGAAAATTACGATTTTGGGTCAAAAAGTTGAATTTCATGAATTACATCTAATTTAATGCCAAAAATTTGCAAATTTTGATTTTTTCTGACAAAAAATTTATCAAAACATTAACAAAATTGTGTCCATGGTGTAAGTGAATAAAATAATGACATAAATAACTACAGACAAGTTTTTATTGATATTTAATATGAAGATCTCCCACTTGTGTCACAATAGCCAGGGAAGCCATCGTCTCAGAGTACCTTCTGTCAGGGCCGCTATCGGTGAAAGGGTTAAAGTTGATATGAATATGAAGCCTGCAGGATTTTTAACATGTCAGATAGCAAGGTATTAAAAGGCAAGAATACCAATAACCTTACTTTAGCACATTATTCTGACTCCTTCTTCTAAATGCTGCCTTCTTAGTGGAGAAGTACAACCTCCTTCATCTGAGGCAAACACAAGACCACTAAGCAATTCTCAATAAAATGAAATATGGATGCCATTGATAAACTTGTAGTTAGTAATTTAAAACATAGATACAAAAAGAATATATACATTACATTGAAAAAAATGTAATCATATTTTGTTTGTGTCCTTGGGAATATAAATACAAAATTAAGAGTATTCTTGTAGACTTGAAATAGATGCAGTTATAGTCATAACTGAACAGTACAACAGTCAATCTGTTTATCAGTAACTTGTTTTTACTCTTTCAGGAAAAGATAAGGGTAATGACACTTAAAACAAAAGAAGAAATGGACAGATTATCACAGAAAATTGTGCAGTCACCTGAGAGAGTGAGAGAAGGTCAGGAAAATATGAAACAACAACTGGTCAACATGAAATGTGGAATGGATAAGAAATGGGAATCATTAGAAGAAATGAGACAAAGATTGGAGACTGTGATTCAGGGCACTACAACAGTGGATAAAATGTTAAAGTTATTGACAGACTTAAAGAATGACAAAGACAAGGAAAGGTAAGTGTAAACAAATGAACCCATGTTGGGAATCAGTAATAACAATCTACGTTGGGAATCAGTATTTCAGATAAAGGTCCATATTTTACTCTCAGCATTTCATTTTTTCTATTTCAGTATTTCCCAGCGTTTTACATTAGTATAATTATCAGAAATATTCAGAAGATATACTTAATAAGAACAATATTAAGGACTGTTGTATACATTGCATGATATCCCATGTACCTTCTTGTATAAAACCCTTGTTGTTTTATGAGGTTGTGTGTGAATGGATCAATTTCTCATTGCCAGTCATACCAAATCTCCTTATTTTATGTACAGTGAAACCTGGGAAAACCAAAGACCGATAAAACTAAATTACAGTTTAAAACCGAAACAATTTTCAAAGTCCCATGAAATTTCCCTGTCAATTAATATTAATCTAACCCGAACGAACCGAACCATGCCAATACCGAATTCTGAATGATTTTTTAAGGTTCATTAGTGAATGTGTATTTAAAAATAACCTGTCAAAATCGATCTGTAACAATCAAAGCAAAAGGTATTTTTAATGATTTGCATGAGTGAATAAACAAACACAGGCTGACAGAGGATCCCCGAGAGTATTTGAGGTTTAATTAAATGGTGAGTGGTTTTTATAAACTAATTAGCTTGTTTGTGTACCTGTATGGAGTGTTATAATATAAACTCCTTAGAAGAAACATAAAATTGATCAAAATGATACTCATCCCCCATTGCCGAAAAAGGCAAGAAAGGAACTTTCCCTTGAATAAAAATTGGAATTAATAAAATGTATGTGATTCAAATATGGACTTCCACAAACTGACAACTGCCATTCTGTACCTAACCTGGGTAAATAAATTAACGTTCTAAGAGCCATTCACTGGCCATGGATTGAGAAGTCTTGAAACAAAACAAAATCATTGACTTTTGAATCATGTTTTCGTGATACAGGATTCCCTTTAGAGGCCCTATCAAATGCAGACTATTCTGAAGACCTGGATGATGATGTTCCCTTAGCTATTCAGTTAAGATTAAGTAAGAGAACTTGTGTGTACAGATAATTGAAACAGACTGAATCGTCATTTGATAGTGATTGGGAATTTGAATTGGATAGTGAATATACAGATGACAACATCATTATGAAAAGCAATCTCGCTACATGTGAGACAACATTGAACGATGATTTCTCTTTACAATGAGTAGGAGCGTGTTTGACGAAATGGCATCCGATTATAAAAAATGTTACTATGTCTTTCTTCATCTATTTGATATTTACATCTAAGTCAACAGTAAAATATATTCTCATCTGTTGCAGACATGTGACAGAGTTGTCAAGCCACAACTGGAGATTTGGAAATTTTCAGCTGGAGTTTGGGCTTCATAACTGGAGATTTTTTATCGACCTATTTATCGACGTATGCAATGGTTTTTTGTGTGTTTAAACTGCATATCTTCTTTTTAGTTTGTTAAAAGAACAATAATTCCATACCTTTCAACAACTCCATATCCATTTTTACTTGATAAAAATAGAAGATAAGGGGTTTCAAATATTTATTCATTATATATAATTCAAGATAAAGCGATCAGCCATCATACAGAGTTGGCAAAAAGTACCCCTGATTCAGCTACATTGTCAACTTTGGTACTACTACTGAACATGCTTGTAACAGAAGGTGTTAATTGATAGAGTTGTAGGCTTGCTGGTGGGTAGCTGTCCCCATAAGTTTGGTCAAATCATTAGGGCCACCACAGTCAGCTTTGCATGAAGTGTAGTAAGCATGGTCTTGACCCTTGGTACTGGATCTGCATCATTTGAAATCAGATCTCCAGGCAGAGTTGAATTTGGCTAGATACTTGGTCTTCTTTTATTTGCTGCTGGGGTATTTGGTGATATAAAAATACGGTTTGCATTTTGTCAAATTCTAAAATTTTAGAATAGTCCAAGACAACTGTACTTATATAGGTATTCCATTGGCTTGGATAGAAAACAAGCCATAAATATCATATTTGAGTTGATTTCATTTGTCTTTGAGGTTCAGTAAACGTTCCATGTTTTCAACAGCATCAAATTAAATTGTTGTTTATACAACTTGTACAATTTAATCCTCAGGCTAATTTTACCTATTTTAACTTTTGACACAAAATCCATTACAGGAAACTTCCGTTTTTCTCGGACTTTTCCCATATCAATTTCGAGTTTCTCGGACTTTTTCTCTGTCCGTATCGATTTTGTAAACAAAAATGTCTAATGAAAATTTTACGAGGTTGACATTTTCAAAAAGCGGAAGATTTCAAATTTTAACGGGAGGGACGGAAGAGGGTCTGAAATGCGGGAGATTTTGACTCCCGCCGGAAGAATCACATGTATGCTGTTGTGTCACCTGGTGTCCTTTCAAATAATTTGAAACTACAAGTATCCACTTCTGCTTACCTCTACAATCCAGACACCTGTGAAAATGGAACAAAACACAAAAGTCTGAAGGGTGTACAGTTTTGTATTATGTATCTGAAAGTTGATTTCTTTCCTGGTATCTTGGCTCCATGAACAAGTTTGCTTAAGAAATGCAGGATAAATGAGCTGTTTTTTTTAACCAAGGTCTAGTTTATATTATTTATTATGTTTACGCCTTAATTCATTTCAGTGAAATTTCCAATGAAATAAATCATATCGTAGAAAAAAGTCAAGAACAAAGAATAACATTGACACATTTACGTGCCAAGAAAGATCAATTACAACAAATAATGAATGGAAAGTTAGAAAAACGGGACAAGCTAGCCTTACAACATCAAAATAAACAACAAAGTCTGACAGAGGCTGTTAATTCTCTACAACAGTAAGTACTTTGCTAGCATCCCAACATCAAAATAAACAACAAAATCTGACAGAGGCTGTTAATTCACTACAACAGTAAGTACTTGACTAGCCTTACAACATCAAAATAAACAAAGTCTGACAGAGGCTGTTAATTCTCTACAACAGTAAGTACTCTGCTAGCATCCCAACATCAAAATAAACAAAGTCTGACAGAGGCTGTTAATTCACTACAACAGTAAGTACTCTGCTAGCATCCCAACATCAAAATAAACAAAGTCTGACAGAGGCTGTTAATTCTCTACAACAGTAAGTACTCTGCTAGCATCCCAACATCAAAATAAACAACAAAGTCTGACAGAGGCTGTTTATTCACTACAACAGTAAGTACTCTGCTAGCCTTACTATCTGGCATGGTTCATCTGACCGTGATCTTATTTTCATCGAACATTGATAATGTTAAGTTTATGTGATACTTGTAGTAAAACCTTCATATACTTTCCACATGAATTCAATGATAAGTAAAACAGGCGAGACATTTCAGCGTGAGCACTCTTGTTCTAACATAGTGTGCTTCAATTTACACCAATTTTATAAGAAATATTGGTTAAAACATGAAATGAATGCTGTTAGTTGACAAATCCTCTTTATTTCAACGATTTCTGACACATCTTTGACCATATTAAATGATACATTAAGGAAGCACCACATTTCAGTTTCATCAGCATAGTTGGGATTTTTCTATTAATGTTTTGTTCCCAAAATTAATGACTAAAATGGGATGTTTTGTATATATTGCATTTGAATGGTGATAACTGTTTTTCAGTGAAGCCAAGCTTATAAACAATACAGCTATATCCTCAAAGGAGCACACACAATGGCACAAATGGAGCCATGCATGATTTGCAAAATAGTCCACACAAATTGAATTTAACCATAGGAGAAATATGTTTTTAACAACTTGTTTGCAATAGATATGGCTTGCTTTCAACTCTCCTTGTTTGATTTCAACAGTAATAATATCTTGAGTTATCATATGATATCAAGTTCTCACACGTTATGAAACCTATTGTCTTTCTGCATTGACATTTGTAGAGATTCATAATATGCATTATTGACACATGACCTTAAATCTTAACCAGTGGCAACACAGTATGGTCAGTTTGAAAATATCAGGGTCCTCACAATATATGAAGTCTTAACACTTCATTAATGGCTTCTAGTTTTCAAAATGCCTGCGCTAAGTAACAAGTCAGCAATCTAATTGTTCTATCTATTGACATGGTTATTTTATTGCCAGTGTGTTTGCAATTGTGTTTTAAAGTAACTTTAAAGTTAATATTTCCTTTTTCTTTACAAATTCCATAGGCTCAATTGCAATTCACAGGAAATTTGTGACGTGATTTGTGCAGAAAAATGGAGTACCCTTAATACTATTGTAGACCATATTCCACTTTTCCTTCACAAATTCATTTTACTCTCAAAGCCTTTTGTTTACAAAGATAATAATGTGTTATACTTTTTACGTTGTATGATTTTAGACAGAAAGAATTTTTCCGACAAAGATTTGATACGGATGAAGCACAAAAATCTGGTATAAGAAAACAAGAACAACAAATTATAGACAGTATTAATGAAGAATACAGAAAATTTGAGAGAAAGAAAGAAATAATAATGAGCCTGTATCATCAAATTTTAGAGAGGGTAAGATAATCCTATTAATAAAGGGGTGTCTAACAATGACTACTGACGAGAGTTTGGTTGAGACTAATTTTTTCCAAAGTTTTTGTCGAGCCTGCGACTTTTGTTGCTGAAAGCTCGACATAGGGATAGTGATCCGGCGGCATCGGTGTTAGTTAACTTCTTAAAAGCTTTGTATTTTAGAAGGTGGAAGACCTGGATGCTTCATACTTTGTTTATAGATGCCTTATGTTACGAAGTTTTCGTCTGTCACACGTCCATTGTCCATGACCTCATTTTCATGGTTCAGTGACTACTTGAAAAAAAAGTTAAGATTTTTTGTAATGTTAATTTCTCTCTTATAATGAGTAATAGGATAACTATATTTGGTATGTGCGTACCTTGCAAGGTCCTCATGCCCGTCAGACTGTTTTCACTTGACCTCAACCTCATTTCATGGATCAGTGAACAAGGTTAAGTTTTGGTGGTCAAGTCCATATCTCAGATACTAGAAGCAATAGGTCTAGCATATTAGGTGTATGGAAGGACTGTATGGTGTACATGTCCAACTGGCTGGTGTCACCTGACCTTGACCTCATTTTCATGGTTCAGTGGTTATAGTTAACTTTTTGTGTTTTGGTCTGTTTTTCTTATACTGTATGCAATAGGTCTACTATATTTGGTTTATGGAATGATTGTAAGGTGTACATGTCTAGCTGGCAGGTGTCTTCTGACCTTGACCTCATTTTCATGCTTCAGTGGTCAATCTTAAATTTTTGAGTTTTGGTCTTTTTCTAATACTATATGCAATAGGTCAACTATATTTGGTGTATGGAAATATTTTATGATGTACATGTCATTTTGGCTGGTTTTATTTGACTTTGACCTCATTTTCACGGTTCATAGCTCAGTGTTAAGTTTTTGTGTTTTGGTCTGTTTTTCTATTACTATAAGCAATAGGTCAACTATATTTGTTGTATGGAAGGATTGCAAGCTGTACATGTCTGCCTGGCATGGTTCATCTGACCTTGATCTCATTTTCATGGTTCATTAGTCAATGTTTAGTTTTCTTGGTTAACTATATTTAGGGTATTGAATGATTGTAAGGTGTACATGTATTTCTTGTTTGGTTTATATGACCTTGACCTCATTTTCTTGGATCATGTTAAGTTTATGTGATAGTTGTAGTAAAGCTTTATATTTAGAACTATCAACATAATATCAATGATTAGTAAAGAAGGCGAGACATTTCAGCGTGTGCACTCTTGTTTAATTTTTATTCAAAGTTGGTTGTACGTTGTATCTTAAATAACATATTTTTATGAGTTGCAATGCAAAATTTTATGTTTTTATATGAGTTGTTTTATTATTTTACCTACCAACATAAGGACATGGTTGCATATGTAGCTAAATCAAAAATTTTAAAAACTGCTATCCACAAATCAGCAGGGTTCAAAATATGTTGGGGCACAATGTCCTAAGACTCATAAACATTCAGATTCACTCCTTTGAAGTATGTAGATATATCCTGTCAGGTTCTGACTATGTAAATAACATAATTTTATGAAAATTTATTAACAAAATGATCTGTTTAACACTTAGGGGTAATATACTTATGTAATAGTTCCAGGTCAGTGAAGTCACATGTTATAAATATTGTTTAAGAAATAATTCTTTCCTGCAATGCTTTATGCTTATTTTAATATGGGTAGGCATTATATTTGTTATGACAAATTTTTAATAAGTTGTAATTATGTTTTCAGATTGACAATAACCATAAAGAATTAGGAAGTGGATGGGAAGCTTTATGTGAAGTAATGCACAAAGTTATAAAGCAACTGGACAACTGACAGTAGATTTGATGGAATTATGTTTTGAGATGACAATAAGCATAAAGAACTGGAAAGCTTTAATAGGTGTCATGCACAAAGTTTTAAAGCAACAGGACAACTGATAGTAGACTTGTTCATTGTATTTATTTGATGTAATTATGTTTTGAGATGACAATAACCATAAAGAATTGGGAAGCTGTAGTGGGTGTCAAGCACCAAGTTTACAGCAACTGGACAAATAACAGTAGACTTATTCAATGAATATATTTCATTGAATTGTGCAATTATTATGTTTTGGAAATGTTATTGTTTATATTTTAATGATAACACAGCAATAGCTGTAGAGTATCATAAAAGGCCCATTCTTTGTATGTAATAACCACTGCCAAATCTCAAAGAAATTTAGAAATAGAAGTCTGATAATTGGCAATTTGAAAAATTGTATAATGTTTTTGGAAAGAAACATTTTGAATTTATTTTGAGGATAAAGAAAAAAATATTAGCAAAAAAAGATAAGAATTTCATGATATTCAGTTAAGCGGTACGTTCGTTGTAACTCATACCATATTTTCCCATTTGACCAATTGTTAGTGCCAATAACCTCTTATGAGCATAAATGCAACTGCTAAAAATGAATTTAGTCTTCAAAACTGATTTTTATACTTAGAAATGTAAATATAGAACTGCTGAAACAACACCTCCTAAATGTCTTGGTGTAAGGTTCCCTTAAGTGGATACTGATAGTATGCAGGTTTGTCAAATAAAAATAATTAACTACCCCTAAATTGGCAACGACACTGTAACTTTTATTAGCCTACATATTTCACCGATTAGACTGGTGACTTAAAGACGATGATACAGAAGGGTGATGGTATCATGTATGTGATGTCATAACTGCATTATCTTGTTTGTGTTGTTATATGTATTTTATATGTTATACAATGAAAATAAAAAAATAAAAATTCAGAATTCATCCATTATTGTCTGTCAATCTTCTTTATCTCGAATAAATATAAAATCTTTGGAAGGTAAATGTATAAATAAAACCATAAGTAATATGTTTGGGAGGATATAAATTTCAGTGTAAAGTTTCTATATTAATTTTTTCTAATTTAAACCACACTTTTAAGGCAATTCCGTACCATTTTGATTACTTTGCAAACATGTGATTATGCTATTTTATAAATATAGCAGGTGCATCCCCCAACTGGGTTCAATTAAAAACATCTAATGCCAAGGTCAGCCTCAATTGATGAATTTGAATGATAGGTACATTGATAATGTCCTTTGAGAATAGCATAATCAGCAACTATGTCCAAAACAAAATCAAGATTTTTAGAGCTGTGCACAGGATTATATCAATGAAAATAATATCTTTCAAAACTTTTGTGCTGAAACTAAGAATTCAGCATTATAAAATAAGAAATTACATTATTACACCAGAAACATGACATATATCCTCATTACAATTATTGCAACAAAAATGTAGCATTACAAATCAAGGTGATTTTAGTTAAAAAAAAGTATTTGTTGAGTATGTGCAAAGACTAAAATAATACTGTTGGAATATTATAAAATTGTACGAAGATTTCAGTCAAAATATAGAAACATTTCACCAAAAATGACATAATATGCAGATTTTTATGCCTATTTTTTGGTAGCAAATATTGGCCACATGCATGTATACAACATAAACATTGACATGAGAAGTGTTGTTCATAAAGACAAACATTGCTGTAAATTATTAATACATTTTTTGTAGTTGATTCTTGCATGTGCTGAATGTATGTGGGTCTAAAAATAATGAAAAAATTACAAAATTCAATGAATTTTTCACAAAAACATTATGAAGGGCATATTTCATGACGTCACAACTGCATTTACTAGTAAACAATGAAGTAAAATGATGGAAGCATCCCCTAGTTATTGTGGGATAAGGCAAAAATTGATTTAAATCTGAAGGCATATATTTTTGGAACTACACGGCAGAAAACTTTCAAAATAAAAAAGGAACAAAGTTTTACCAATCCCAACTGCAGCGTAAATCAATCCAACCATACTCAAGTAGAAATCCAATAGCAGTTTTGAAATGTGATGGTATAACAACAAAATAATGAAGATCCTTAAATATATCCACTAAGAAGTCTTAGCTCATTACTATTCTATCTATAGAAAATTTCTATGAAGCAACATTTCAGCAGCGTCTGTATATAGGGTATTTATCTCCCAATTGATACGATATTCCAGAGCTTGCATTTCCTATTGTGATTTAACTTGATTGAGGGTTGCTGCTTATAAGGAAGCTATTAAACCAAGAGTTCCAAGTGGTAGAGTTGAAATCACCCCTTCTCAAATTTTACGGACACCTTCATCAGTTGGTTGACGGGTGTTGCATGTGGAGCAGGATCTGCTTACCTTTCCGAAGCACCCTTAGTTTTGTTTTAAAGGGGTTCCTGTTGCTCAGTCTTTAGTTTTTTTAGTGTTGTTCTTTGTGCTTTTTATTTTTTAATGTCTGTGTTGTATATACCGATAACAGTCTTGTCTATATTTTCTCATGGGCAACTGGTTTCAATTCAAAATTTCACATTAGGTCAAGTTTCAGTGGTAGAAAATTTACATGACTGATGGTTTATGAATGTGGTGATGTCTTAGGGTTATATAAGAGCCAAGTACAAATCTGCTATTGCTTGATGGCTAATCACTTGACAACTTATAATCATATTATCTAGGAGTAACACGACGGGTGTCACATGTGGAGCGGGGGATCTGTCTATCCTTCCGGAGCACCTGACATCAACCTCTTGTTTGTCGTTAAACGTTTTTTGCCATGGCATTGTCCATTTGTTTTCGACTTATGAGTTTGAATATTCCTTTGGTATCTTTAGCCTCTCTTTCAAGGGTTAAATGCCTGAATGAATTTAGTTTCTCAATAACACATCATTTCCTCGTAAATGTATATTTAAAAAGATTTGTTAAAGATGTATTTTCGTCAAGGTGTTTCTTGACATTGACCTCTTTAAATGGGTCTGTGGTCACTGGCGTATCCATTGGAAAATAATTTTTAGGCAGGGGGTATTGTGGGCGTCAGACCCCCTCCCCCCTTTCCCGAAGCTGAACGATACTAGTAACATTCTGATTGAAAAAAATGTTTTATAGAATTATTTGCTTTCTTTTGCATTATAAACGAATCCGATCTAACTTTAAAATTCAATTAAATGAGATACAGTATATTTTTGCCGCTTCATCATCATCAGCTGACATGTCACATCCAATCCACAACTTTCCAGCAGCATCTATACATAAGCTAAGAGGGTAATCTATTCCTATATCATCTACAAAACTACATGTTAAAAGTGCTTTTCCAAGTACATGAATAGAATGTTTCCCAATGTCGCTTACTAAAATCAAATTGGAATGAGTTTCTGCAATGTCAAAGGGACAAAAATTGAAATCATTGCAATTTTCACATTCACAACCATTATATTCCCGTTCAATATCACCTGATCGATTTAAAAGTACAACTTTTCCAGCATATGTACTTAGATTTGAGTTATCTATGATTAATATATCATCTTTTTTCGTGTTTAAAACTCTACTTGGATAGTCGAACATATCAACTTCCTCATCTTCATCATAACTGTCATCATAGTATATATAATCGCTGTCACCGTCATTAACAATATTTCTTTTATCAAATGTACATGTGGTATTTCCGTGCTCATCTAAAACTAGTACAATACCTAATTCTCCTCGCCAGTGATCTGGGTCTTTGACAAGTGCTCCCACAAACAGTTCATTTTCATTATTTACATGTACGCACAAGGTTATCAAGTCTAAATGAAGAAATGTTTTTAACTGTCCAGTTTTTGTTAAAATTTTTAAATCATCACCTACGGATAATATTGCATGTCCATCTTTTGTCTGTGAGATATCCATCACCCTTATGTCTTTTAAAGTTTTCAGAGTTTTGTATGTGTCATAACTCAGGTCCTCTTTCTTCAGAATATCTTCAGAGTTGTTGCATATCAAGAGTTGTTCTGCTTCACAGTGACTTAAACAACTGATGCATTTCATATCGGTTGGATAAACGGTAATATTCTCTATTATAGGCTTTTCAGTAAGGTCTCCAAGAATTCCTCTGGTTTCTATCTGTTGTGGAAAAAGCTGAAATAGGCTGGCACGTTTGCCAAACATTGGTTGATGTAATTGCTTAATGTCAGAAAGACATTCGTCAAAAACAAGTCTTGGATCATGTGACTTAAGGGTCTGGTATATATTGTCTTTTCTTTTAAGCAGCTTACTTTTAGTTTTAGAGCACAACTCAATATCACTGTTTATTGAGTGTTCTGTATTATGCCATTCAGTTTCTAGTTCATCTAAAACATATCTGGTTTTCATGGCAATATCTTGTTTCATATCTTCTTCTCTGCTAAGGATTAAAGTTCGGATTTCAATATGATGATTTTTGCTTTTTAATTCACATTCTTGCAACAGTGTTTCTTCACTTTTCAAAAAAGTAATGCTACTTTTGATTTCGACCTTCAAATTTTCTATATCAGCGAGCTTCTCCTCGTAAGCATCGTCAATTTCACAGAAGGTATGGTTTTGATGAATATTTAAGATACAAGAAGGACATATTGGCTGGTTGCAATTTTTACAGAACATGCAGCACGTTCTGTCATGGTGGGTTGTACACTTCATTTGTTTCAAGTCCAATTTTCTAATATTATTGATCGTTTTTTCTGTTCCACATTGGTCTAAGTGAATTATTTTATGTTCTACAGATGACCTTATTTTAGAATGAATTTTTGAATTACAAATTCGACATAGAAACAAGTCGCAATTTAAGCATCTCCAATTGATCTCTCTTGAAGTTTCACAAAACTGACAAACTGCCGAAATTTGTGCTTCCATTCTGAAAAAAGAGAGAACCTCTTAAATTTTCTCTCCAATTATATGTTCAGTGTGAAGTATTGTACTTATTGATATATTTAGTCCAGATTTAGTGAAACAAATTGGATTGGGACAATAGAAACCACCTAATGTTAACGATTAACATCTGGTCGACACTTTACCTCATCGAAAAATGTCAAGGCCATTTCGCATGGAGGGTGATGCATACAGGAGACGCGTACCCAGTCGACGCTCCCGGTTTCGCTCCTTTTGGAATTCATGCAATTCCCTCAGTCAGTTTTTATTGGTTACCTTGCTTTTTATCTTCTTAATCGATTTATGAGGTTAGAACATTAGTAAACTACTGTTGCCTAAATTTACTATAGTTTAGACTATTGGATCGTCTACATTTGATTCCGTAATGATTGATGCATGTTTTGAACCAGGTTCAACCCACCATTTTTTATTAAAATGTCCTGTACCAAGTCAGGAAAATGGCCATTGTTATATTATAGTTCGTTTCTGTGTGTGTTGCATTTTAGTGTTGTGTTTCTGTTGTGTCGTTGTTCTGCTCTTATATTTGATTTGTTTCCCTCAGTTTTAGTTTGTAACCCGGATTTGTTTTTTTCTCAATCGATTTATGAATTTCAAATAGCAGCATACTACTGTTGCCTTTATTTATTCAGATTAGAATTTACTACACATATAACAATCATTGAAGAGGGGATATCACACGTTATTTGTATACTCTTTTTTTTAATCATATATGCACAATTGATTAAGAAATCATAAATATACTTACTTGGGGCAAGTTGTTTTACATTAGAAGTCACTTTATTGATTTTGTACCGGAAGTTACACTTTACATTTACAGAATGAAAACCGAAAGTAGAAGTATTAATAAAATGGAGGCAGAGCTAATTCCTAAGATTTGCGAGTTTTGCGAAGCTTCACGCGAGATTAAAATGAAGTGTGTAAACTGTAACTTGTTCCTCTGTCGAGCTTGTCATTTGAAGATCCATTCAAAGATTAAAGCAGCAAATGATCATATTGGAATTGACGTTCAAGACTATTGTACCGAAAGTATCTTTGAAAATAGTAGAAAGGTAAATCTTAAGCAGATGTCATGTATAAAGCATAATCAAAAGACGTGTTTTATGTTCTGTAGAGATTGTGAACAGTTAATATGTTCTACTTGTGTCATTGATTCTCACGATCAACACAAATTTGAAGAGATTGACCATGCTTACCATGAAAAAGTGAAAGAGTTAGAAAATGAAACGATACGAATAGATTCTGAAATTCCTAAGGTCGAAATTAAGGCAACTAGACTGCGGGAAATGAAGTTCGAAGGTGAGAAAAGTTTCTTAGAAATTAAATCCAAGATTTTTCAGCATGAATATCAAATTAAAGAAGACATTTCAATGGAAGCCAAAACTCTTCTTGCACGAGTAGATACACGATGGAAGGTAACCAAAGACTCTATAACCAAACAGGGAAAACAAGTGCAGAAAAGTAGAGATTATTTAAAAAAGCGAAATGCTCAATTAAATCTAATTTTAAATTCTAAAGAAGCAGATGATTTTTTTGCAAAAGCTACAAATATTAATCACCTATCACCAATTACGTGTCTAAGTCATGTACAAATTGAAACTTTTCGGTTCACCCCAAGTAACAGGGATTGTAAGGAAATTGGACTTTGTCATAAAATAGAAAGATTTGAATTTTTTCATGCTTTTCAAACAAACCTTACCATTTCAAAAATGCTTAAAATAGAAGAAAACCAATATGTTTTATATAGTCATGTTGAAAACAAGTTGCAACAGGTTCAGTTCATTGACAAAACTATCAATATCCGGAAAGAAGTGAACAATGTCGTAGCGTCTGACATTGCAGTTACTAAAGACCGTCATATTTTACTGCTTTTTGAGTCGGATTTGTACTGCCTTACTGACAATGGTAAATTAATGCAACTTCCACTTCGTACTTATTATCAATATTTAGATGATTTGATTTGCATTCATGTAAACAATGAAAATCAGATCGTAGTTGGAAGTAAATTTGACGATAACCCTTATGAGGAGATATATTCTGGCATGATTATGATATTCACATCAGTGGTTTATTTTCATGACTATACGTATAAAGAGATTGAAGATCCACTTTTCAGGGGAGTTTTAGACAATTTCATTCCAGATAGAATCATATCTACAAGAGACAACGATTACTGCCTCATTGTAAGAGAAAATTTACATGGAAGAAAACAGATAGCACGCTTTAATCATAAATTTGAATTCAAATGGGCGTACGATGGCTGCTGTAAAGACAATTTTTTCCCCGCAGACGTAGCGGAGGCACCGTCAGAATTGATATATGTTGCTGATGCTTATAATGGTACTATACATGTCTTAAATCAAGACGGCGATGTCGTGACGTGTAACCTCCTTGCGAATGAAAACGTTGCAGATCCTCTTTCCGTTTATATAACTGTACCTGGTATGATTTTTATTGGCTGCAAAAAAACGAAGAAAAATCAACCGGCACATATATACTTATTTAAACTCAAATGAATAGATTTATAATGCTTCATTTTGAAACGAAGGACTTTTTTTCATTCGTGAAGTTACATGCACTGCCATTTTCTGCATTTGATGCCATTTCTGAATTTATTGACTAGCTGCTGATACATTTGGATCTTCAAAGGTATACGGTGGTCCGTATTAAAAAAAAATTTGGGTAAAAATGTTCCTGATGAAAGTAAATCCAGAAAGGCGCAACAAATTTATAAAGTGTTATTTTCATTTGATTTTTTGTTTTTGTTTTATTGACAACATAATTAAATATTTATTTCAATTACTGGTTTGTTAAAATATCCTTCGGGGGTCTAAGCTCCTCCAGATGTTCCCTGTTTCATTCCACTAATTACTCAGGGCAGGAATTAGTTGTAAAATTCATATTACATCAAATATATATTTAATAACATCACTTATTGTTCAAATGTTTTTTAATGGTTACTGAAATATTATTTTTAATTGTCACACGTACTCTTCTATTAAATTCATTTAACGAAAATTAAAAAAAAACATTGACATTATTTGTCTTTTAATCAGATATGTAATACGCTTTATAAATTAAAAAAAAAATAACAATTGTTAAAAAGTAGTTAAAGCCAAAATATCCTTCGCCAGAAATTTTATACCCAAATACTAAATGTTTTAAATGTCATATTAAAAGTTATTTTACTCATCTTTAAAGCTTCATTTATTTTATTCCAAAAGCTTTCTAAATGTGGACACAGTATGAAGAAGTGACCGTAATCTTATTCTTGTGTACAAAAGTTGAAAAAAAACCTATTGTTTGCAATTTTCCACCTGAATTAAGGTTTCTTTGTAGGTATAATATGTTGTAGTAATTTCCACCTAAAAGTTTTAAGTTTATTTTCTGTCAAATAATTGAATAAAAATTCATAATATACATTGTGACCATGGTGACAGTCTTGATATAACACATCATCTATATTAAGTATACGCAGCCATTTTTTGGTCCAATAGCTGAGCTGGTTCAATTTTTTATCAGAGACTTATTTAAAATTTTGTTTGATAGTGATTCTAATTTTATAGGTAAACCTTTCCATATAATTTGGTTTCTTTTTATATAAACAGTGCTGTTTATAGAATTTTCCGACTTAAAGATGGCTGCCCATTCTTTTGGTATTGATTTCTTTACTAAATTAATTTCAGCTATCCAAAACGCAACCTTTTTCATCTATGCTATCATTTACATAAATAAGATCGCTTTAAATCATTTTTTTTTAAATTATAGCTTCATTATCAAATATAATTAACTTGCTGTTCCATAATATTTGTTTTTTTATATCTGTTAATGTTTCAGGCTTTTTCGTTAGACCTCATCAGTTTTAATTTCCAACATTTAAGGATAGTTTTATAAAAATCTGGGATTTTTTCAAGACTTTCTTCTGGATTATCCCCACTGTTTGTTTGAAACGCTAGCCAATTTGACCCAAAATTACAGAAATAGTGATGAGGTATAATTTTCCAATCTCCTTCACAATCACTTACGAGTCTTTTAACCACATAGTTTTTATTTATTTAATTTTTAAAGCAATATCAATGTTCGTTTTGGACCAGTCTTGCTTTGGGAAGCTGTCCCTTAGCTCTGAAAAACCAATAAGCTTATATATGCGCTGAGAAATTATAAAAAAATAAAGTTCAAATTATTGGTTAGGGCTAATAAATTTGCTAATGCATTCCGCCATCAATAGTTGCGACGCAGATTTAGCGAATAAAAGTAAAATGTTTCGTTCTAGCAAAAATACCTAGGTTTTTTTTCTTCCATCACTTCAGATAAATTCAGATAACAAATGTTGTTTTAGACAATAACTCTTTATGATATTTAACTTAACACCCATATGCAATAGGAAGTGAAAATATATATATATATATATTAAATGTACAAGTGATCTCGCATACGAGAGGTAATAGTTATACACTGAGGGATAGGTGTGTCTGGATAAGAAACCCCGACGGCCGGAGGCCGGAGGAGTTTCTTATCCAGACACGCCGTATCCCGACGTGTATAACTAACTTACGCCCTATGCTAAACCCTATATTTGTTTACATTGAATATTAAATGAAAAAGAACGGATAGCATTTTTATTGACAATATCAAACCATGATTAATAAGAATTTTTTTTTTAAATGAAACCCCACTAGTAACCTTACTTTGACGATCTTGACACGTGAGTTGATTTTACAAATGTCAAAGTTGCCGTTTTGCATATTCCCGTTAAATCCATGTGCTTATATGGATTAGCAGGTCAAGGTTGGCCGTATCGTGCATTCTTATTACAAAAAAAATACATCATGCTCCTTGTATGCAGTTGTCAATATGGACGGGTATAAGACGGACGACAGTTTGAGTCAAGCGTTGGATTTGGAAGAAGAGACTGAAGTTAACGCAATATTTATAACCCAAAGTATTTTACATGTATCAGTTTATTGAAGGTTATCAGAAATGTATTTTACATATTACAGTTTTATAAAAAAAAAAAAAAACCACCACTTCTCAACATTAAACAAACATTCATATTCGAACATACTGAGGGATAGGTGTGTCTGGATTAGAAACCCGACGACCAGACACGATTAACATACACAAATACAAATTGCATATGTAGGACCCCCCTTTTTTGGGGCAATCCAAGGGGGGATGGGCTTCCGGGGGTTGGAACCCCTCTTTTTTTTACGATAATTGCTTTTGAATGGGGACATATGGCTGGAACCCCCCCCCCCCCCCCCCCCCCCCCTTTATCCTGGGTTGGCATCCCCGTTTGAAATCGGCTGGATCCGCCCTTGGGTGCCATCATTAGTCTTCAACAATCCAAACATAAATATTTATTTTATGAATAAGACTTAGTTCAAATGAAAACTATATGTTTTGAATGTATAATTAAATAAAAGTTCTTTACGTCAATGTTTTTAAGACATTGCCATATGGGATTAAAATTGTAGCTTCAAGCAAAGGAGTATTTAAATGATTTTTTTTATTCAAATAGATGCTAAATATTTTTTTCGCTGTTGGAATTTCCTGAAATATGTTTTTTTAATATGTATTGAAACAACTTGTAGTGAACACTATTAGTTATCTCTTATGTTCATGCTATTAAAAAAAAACAATTTCTATTGTTATGAATAACAATGGACAGTGTTTACAGAAACCCCGCTCGTCACACCCTATGGTCAAAATCCATTGTTATTCCTAACATTTACACTTCAGAAATTCAGAAATAGAAACTATGAAGTATAACAATAGAACTGGGGTGTAAT